ATGTCTCTCAATTCTGAAATTCTGTGACTGTAGTTCTGAGATCAACCCTTCAGAGAATATCCAATTTGCAGATTGAAAAGAGATGAGAAAACAGGAGGGGAGATGGAATTCTAGAAGATTGTAATGGAAAGAAGTTATGGTTTAGAAAATACAAAGGAAAAATAAAAAGAAATAATCTAAAGGAGTCTTCAGCCATTATAATTATCATCCCTAAAATGGTTTTGTGATTTTTTTTTTCTGAGAACAAAATAGTAATTACAGGAATAATAGAGGTTATGTAGGGACACACACTTCCTTCATGTAAGGGTGTGATATTGGCTAGTGCAGAAATAGGTTGGATTTGCAAGATAACGCTTACTGGAAGCTGGTTATTTCATCCTAGGTATTATGACTGCATTTCTAGTAGCTGTTATCTGGTAATAGTGTTGCCAATCAGGGTAACATAAGCCTCTGATTTTCAGCCAGCTACCCTTAGGTGTTGATAACTGAGAAGTAAGAGACTAATTCAGATGATGCAGGCACTTGGTTTGCACTGGTTAGATTACATCTGGAATATTGTGTCCAGTTCTGGGTACTCTACTTTAAGAAGGACAAGGACGTTGACAAACTAAATATCACCCAGAAGAGAGCAATTAAAATGGTAAGGAATCTAGATGCCATGTTATCTTAGGATTGACTGGTTCAGTGGGAAGAATTGTTGATCTGAAGCTATAAAACCTTAGATCTAAATCCAGCTTTAATGATTTGCTAATTTTGTGTCAGTGGATAGAGGATAGATAGGTGGCACAGTAGATAGAGGATTTATCTTCATGAGTTCAAATCTGGCCTCAGATACTTACTAGCTGTGTGACGCTGGGCAAGTCACTTAATCTCAGTTTCCTCATCTGTAAAATGAGCTGGAGAAGGAAATGTCAAACCACTCCACTATCTTTGTCAAGAAAACCCCAAATGGGGTCATGAAGAAAGTCAGAGATGACTGAAAAAGACTGAACAAAGATGATGATGACAACAGCAACAAAAATATTTTTTGTGGCTTTGGCCAAGTTGTTCAATTTCTCTGGCCCTTATTTATTTATTTCTAAGGTGAGGGGTATTGACTAGATGTTTTCTAAATTCTCTTCCAGGTCTAAAGCCTATAAATTTGAACTTTTCACCTGGAGAAGAGAATTAGAGGGCACACATTTGTGTTCAAATACTTAAAGGATCATGATGTGGAAGGAGTTATTTTGTGGGGGCAGCATCTGGAGGATCAGGAGAGGGTTCACGTAGAAGGTGACACTTGGGCTGAATTGAATGAAACTAGGGATACTAAGAGGCAGAGATGAGGCTTCCCAACCAATAGAACTGTCCCAAAATGAAACAACTTGTCTAGTGAAGTACTGAGCTGCCTAGAACTGTATGTATAAACAGAGGTGATGTTATAGATAACTGCATTGAATAGGAGGTTAGAGTAGGTGACCACTAAAGTCTTTTTCAACTCTTAGGTCTTGTGATTCAGTGAGACTTTGCTCAATGCAAAGTCTGTAATCAAGCTATGTTATGTCTGGAGCTGTCCCCCAAAACTACCGTTCTAGAAGCCCTATAATGAAAGGAAAGGAGGCTAATTTGAAATGACTTATTTTTAGTAAACCCCATGCAAGATCCTAGTAGTCTCTGCTTTCCTTCCTAAGCGTTCGCAGACTCTTCTGTTTAATAACCTACTGTAGCATTTTGTTGCGGTTCAACATCATGGTTATTAGAGTGGGGTCATATTTTTCTCATTTTTAAGTCTGGAAAAGATATATTCATTTTAGTATATCATTCAGTCATTTCAGTCATGTCCGACTCTCTGTGACCCTATTTTGGGGTTTTCTTGGCAAAAATACTGGAGTAGTTTGCCATTTCCTTCTCTAGTTCATTTTACAGATGAGGAAACTGAGGCAAACAGGATTAAATGACTTGCCCAGGGTAACACAGCTAGTAAGTGTCTGAAGCCACATTTGAACTCAAGAAGATGAGTCTTTCTGCCTCCAGGCCCAGCGCTCTATCCATTGCACCACTTAGCTGTCCCAGTTCGCAGCATAACAACTTTCACATTCTCCCTATCTGGGGGATATACTGAGTCTGGATACTTCTCCCCCTTTTTGACATTATCTGCATCCCACAGTTTGCTGATCTTCTTTCCTTTTCAAGACTTAGAACATATGAGCTGATTTTCCAGGATTACTGATTTCCTCATTTCTTTTTAACATCATAGAATCATTGACTTATGACAGGACCTCAGAGGTCATCTAGTCTAACCTTTATGCAAATCCTGAACCCCAGCTAAAACAGCCTGAAAGGCCCTCATCCATTTCTTGTTTGAAGACCTTCAGAGACATGGAACACTGTCTCCCAAGTCCATTCGTTACATCTGGGGAGTACTCTAACTGTTAGAATTCCTTATATTGAGCCAAAAACCTGCTTCCCTTTGCTTTTTAGTCTATTGGTCTTAATTCTGTCTCCCTGAATGAGGTAGAATAAGTCTAACCCCTCTATTACATAAAGAACCCTTCAATTGGAGACAGCTGTTATTCTCTCATCCTTCCTCCCTGTAAGTCTTTTTTTTTCTTTAAGCTAAAAATGTCTAGTTTCTTCAACCATTCTTCATTTGATAGTATATTTAATGACACATGGGAGGATATTTGGATTACATTTGCAGTATTCGCTGTAATTACACACTTGTAGTTACCATGGGTTACCATAAGATGGAGTTTATATGTCTTCTTGCATTTTTCCCAAGTGAGCAGCCCAGGCCTCTTGAGAAGCCAAATTCCACCATGGCATCTGAAGGGAGTGGATTAAAGTATGCAGCTTCCCCCAAACCCTATATGCTCAGAGCCATTGATTTCTGACCTATCAGGAACAGTGGTAAGAACTCACGCTCAGAGATCTTTATTGTTTCACAGCAAACTGGTGAGTTTGAGAAAAGTTGATGCAAAATAGTTCAAGCATTAGCAGCTATTCCATGACTCATACATGCAGGCAAAGGAGAAAACTTTTTCCAACAGTGTCAACCATTTTGCCAATCCCTGCCACCCTAGAGTGACTCTAAATTTGGTGAACAAAGAGCAGTTATGCCTTAGAGAGGACAGATTTTTATCTGGAAAAAGGGTCTCATGTGGCCTCCTCAAATAAGATCCTTTAGAGAGCCTCCTACTCCTCTAATGCATGAAGTTGCTGCCTTGGAAGACAGCTTGGTGTAGTGGATGGACTTGGAGTTAGGAAGACCTAAGGTTCAAATTCCTCCTCTCTGAGCCTCAGTTTCCTTCTTTGTAGCACCTACTTCACCAGGTTGTTGTGCGGATTAAGTAAGGTTCTGTGTGCAAAGTACTTTGCAAACTTTCCTATCAGCTATCATTGTACTTTACTCCTCTACACACACAACATGCAGCTTTCATCCCCATGACTTCTAGAACTGAATTCTCAAAGGTCACCAAGTACCCCTTCCTTTCCGATTACCAATGACTCTTCTCAGAGGCATTACTCTCTTGAGTCTCTCTGAGGCATTTGATACTTTGGACCACTGACTAATTCTTGAATCTCTCCTCTCTGAGTTTTCTTGCATTGTTGAATCCTCTCTCTCTATTGCTGTCACAGATCTCTGGCTCTTGTTCCTCCCCCACATCACGACCATGGGTAACTCCAGGCGTCAGTCCTCCTCCACTCTCAGCTCTGCTCTTAGCTTTTATTTCCAGAAATCTGGCCTTCTACACACTAAGCCTTTACTTCAGCTTTCTGCTCCTTTCTCATCACCCAGTCCCTTTAGAGGAGACCTTGGGATTTTATTTTATTGGTTGCTAAATCCCAAAGAACATGGAGAGAAGTAGGTTGCATCTCCCTGTGACCTCACCTTCCAGTCAGGATCTGGTTGCCAGGGCAACTAAGTTACTAGCATATGGTGCTTCTATTCTTTCTCCTGGTACTCCTCCAGGCTTTCTACCCTCCGCCTAAAAAAATGAAAGAAAGAAAGAAAGAAAGAAAGAAAGAAAGAAAGAAAGAAAGAAAGAAGAAAGAAAGAAAGAAAGAAAGAAAAATGCTACTTGATGATTTATTTAACTAAGCTTATCATTTTCTAATATTTGCCTACTTCTGGAAATGTTTTTTTTCCTTTTCCTCCCAACCAAAAGTTCTTGAAAAGGATCAGCCTTTTCCCTATGGATCATTTTAAGAATATTTTGGACAGAAGTGGTTGCTTGCTTGTTTTTGCCTTTTTTTCAAGTGTTTCCTCATGAAAGACAATGTATCACTGGATGGGATTATTGTGAATGTCTGTGAAAACTTCATCCTTTTTAGGACTCGTACTGTCTTCCAAGAGCAGAGAGAATTTTGAGGTGCTTCCTGTTTGGAGATAGCAGTTTTGGAGCTCTCTTTCAACCATTTGATCCTCCTTTCTGTTGATAGAGGAAGCCATTCTGGAAACAAAACCTTCTTGAGTCTAGATTTAGATCTAACATAAACACAGAGGAACTTGCCCATTGTTTCCAAAAGACATTTAGTGTGGAGAAAAACAAAGTTCTCTTAGATGGAACCACTCCTCAGGTCCCATATCTATCCCATGTGATAGAGCTAACTACGGCTATCGTGAACCCTATTATGTGCTGTCTACAAGATTATACCATAGATTCCTAGAGAACTGGGAAGGGAAAGGCCTAGAGAGGAACAGTGCTCAAAACCAGAAAAGTGACCTCTGGGTTTGAAAATGAACCTTTAAAAAGGTGACTCATGTGGAACGAATGTCTCAAAACATAGTGAAGGCGTGCACACTTTTCACAGCCTTGAGATGACAGTAATGTCAGTTTCCATTGGCCTTCTAGCTAGGGGGAAATACAATGGCTATTAATGTTTCTGTGCCCTAGCCCTGGCCTTTAATGTGCTGAGCATTTGTCCGTCAAGCTCTATTTGTATTTATGTTTACCCACAGCACAAAGTTTGGCTTGTCTTCGAGTTTTTGTTTGTCATTTTTTGCTTCCCTCCCTCAGGTATTTCTTCACTTGCATGGCCTCTGCTGTCCTTGGTATCGTCCTCCTTATTACTTTACTACTATACATCTTCATCCAGTACTTTGTGAAACCAGAGGAACTCCGCACAGACCTCCAGTTTGAAAGTATGTTGTTCAATGTTCTGTTTTTGATCCTTTGTCTGTTATATTGGTAAACTTTCCAGTAAACTTTTGCAGGTAAGAAGAGGGAATTTGTGTATATCACTAGTTAGTTAGTCTAGTTTCTCCTGCCTGCAATGGGAGAGACGATCTTGGGTCTTTATCTGTAACACAAACACAGCCTAGGCTGATAGACAGCTTACCATTTCCTTGTGGAATTTTTTTTTTTTTGGTGAGGCAATTGGGGTTAAGTGACTTGCCCAGCGTCACCCGGCTAGTGAGGGTTATGTGTCTGAGACTGGATTTGAACTCAGGTCCTTCTGACTCCAGGGCCAGTGCTCTATCCACTACACCACCTAGCTGCCCCCAGCTTACCATTTCCTAAAAGGTTTGGTGATAATATGATGGCTACCATGTAAGAAATGTATGGCATCATGGTCATGTGGTACTAGTTTTTATAACACGGCCTGTATTGTGAATCCTGGATATTGCAGGTAGGGGTTTTGCTGTGGCCTTGCCCTGGACATGTTGTGTTCCCTGTAAGAATCAGGCACAGCTAGTCAAATGTGACCCCAGTGGGGAAATGTTGAAAGGATTATGTGCCAGGGCCCCAGATGTGCTGGCTATTCTAGTTCTACAATATGCACACCAGGAACTACATAAGCCCATACTGAGACTTTACTGTACATAGCTAATCTCTGAGCCGTCACAGAAGCTTCCACCAGTTAGGCATAAATTTTATTCATTCGTCAGGGGCTACATAGGAGGATCTAGGAATGACTTGTGAGCTGTTGCTGCACATACATGTACACACACAAACACACACACTTCCTTATTCTACTAGAACTTTATTACAAGACACTTCTCTATAATACAGAATAAGACAGACCCAACTTGGACCCTATCCAAAGGATTCAATACCAGAGTTAAGACCTATAACATCACCAAGACACATTCCCAAGGACAGAATTCTTTTAAGGGCATTTGCCTTAAGTGATGACATGGTTGTAGAAAATTCAGCTGAAAATAGGATTTGCCCCTACCTACCCTAAGTCAGCCGCAACTCAACTCCACTATGGCAGAGGAAGGGAAGGGAATGAGAATTTTAATAGTTCCTGCTATGTGCCAAGCATGTGCTCAGCACTTTAGCAAATATTATCTTATTTGGTCCTCTAACATACAGGATTCACAATACAAGTCATCTTACAAAAACTAGCACCCCAAGACCTTGAGGTCAGGCACCTCTATTCGGGTAATCATCATAATGCCACCAAACCTTTTAGGAAACGGTAAGCCACTTATCAGCCTAGGCTCTGTTTTTGTCACAGATAAAGACTCAACACAGGCAAATATCATCAGCAAAAAGGATAATTAGCAAATTAATTAATTAGGATCTTTAAATTTCCATCCTTGAAACTAATCACATTCATTAAGCTGTTTTGCATTTCCTGAAGGAATTAATGCCCAGGAGTAAAAGATAATGTGTTTGAATTTATATAACTGTCATATTAAAATTCCACATATATATTCATATTTTGTTGCAAGAATTCAGGCTTGGTTAACACCTTTTGTATTTATATCTCCAATCAAGGGTTAAGGTTTTACTTAAATTAAAAAGAATTATCCAGAAGCAGTGTGGCACAGCAGACAGAAAGTCAGCCTCCAAGTCAGAGAGGACTGTCTTCAAGCCCCAACCTACTGGCTGAGCAACCATTAAGTCATTTTAACTGCTCAGTCCTGGAAGCAGTTCTCCAAGATTCTAAGTTCCTTTGCAATGGCTGACCTTCGTGAATAGCAGGAGGTTTTTCATTAAAAGCTCCATATACCAGTTAAATCACAGATCCAGACCAACAAATGATTATCCTTCATGAAGAAAGGATATATGCCTTAGACCTAAATTTATGAATTGATAACTTCTTTGATATAAACTTTAGCCACTGTTCAATCACCTTAACATTGATTGGTAAAACAGACGCTGATATAAGCAAAAATAGCCCACAGAGTTCATCATGTCTACTATTACTAACAATAGCTAGCATTTTTATAGCGCTTTAAGGTTTGCAAAGCACTTTACAAATATTATCTCATTTGATCCTTACAGCAATCCTGGAAGGTAGGTGATATTATTATCCCTATTTTACAGTGGAGGAATCTGAGGCAAAGACTAAATGACTTGCCCAGGGGTCACATAGCTAGTCAGTGATTGAGGGAGGGTCTGAACTCAGGTCTTCTTGATTCTAGGTCCACCATTTTATTTATCCACTGCACTACGAAGCTCAGTTTAAGGAGTCATGGAACAATCTGCTCTCATTAGGGTGAGACCTCTGGACCTCTATTTCTACATTGCCAACTATTCCCTGTCTTTTCTTGATTTTTGTATGTGAAGCTTCTTTAGTGAGGGATGGCCTTTCGGACACTTAGATTTTTTGCATATATTCTTTCCCATGGCTCTAGCAATGCAGTCAGAATCAGCTAGTTTTAATACAAATGACTATACCAATGACTATATGTGAACTCTACCAAGAATCATTTTTGTTGTTCAGGGGCTACAAGAAAGTGAATCCTTTACTTTAACACTGGATACTCTCAATATTCTGTTTCCTGTCTTCTCTCATAATACTCCCCTTCACATTTTCAATGCTCTGGCCAAATTATGCTGCTCAGCATTTTCTAAACTTCATTTTCCTGACTTTGAGTCTTTGCTCATGCCTAAAATGTAGTCTCTACCTAACTATTGAAAGTCTCTCTGTCCTCCAAGCTCCAGGTCAAATGTCCCTGTCTCCATGAAGTTTTTCCTAATCCTCTTTCCACCCTCACCCCTCCCAACCACAACTAGAAGTGACATCTCTCTCTTTTAGACTTTCCTAGTACTTGTACCTCACTTATGCAGTCTATATACTATCTTTATTATTCATGTACATGTCTTGTCTCCCTTGTTAGACTCTAAGTTCCATTAAGGCAAAGACCATATTCCCAGCCCTTAGGTGGTGGTGGTTTTTTTTCAATTTTTTAACATTTTTATTTAAAGTTTTGAGTTCCTAGAAAAAAAAAATAACAAAATTCATCTGGAAGAACAAAAAGTCCAGAACATCAAGGGAATTAATGAAAAGAAATGCAAGGGAAGGTAGCCTAGCTGTACCAGATCTTAAATTGTATTATAAAGCAGTAAGCATCAAAACTACTTGGTACTGGCTAAAAAATAGAGTGGTGGATCAGTGGAATAGGTTAGGTATGCAGGACAAAACAGTCAATGACTATACTAATCTGCTATTTGATAAATCTAAAGATACTCTGCTTCTGGGATAAGAAATCACTATTGAGCAAAAACTGCTGGGAAAACTGGAAAAACATATGGCAGGGAGTGGGCATAGGCCAACATCTTATACCCTATACCAAGATAAAGTAAAAATGGGTACAGGATTTAGATTTAAAGATTGGTACTATAAGCAAACTAGAAGATTAAAGAATCGTTTACCTTTCAGATCTATGGAGAAGGGAAGAATTTATGACCAAAAAAGAGATAGAGAACATTATAAAATGCAAAATGGACAAATTTGATTACATTAAATTAAAAGGTTTTTATGCAAATAAAGCCAATGGATCCAAGATTAGGAGGGAAGCAAAAAACCGCAAAAGAATTTTTACAACCAGTGTCTCTGATAAAGGCCTCATTTCTAAAATATATAGAGAACTGAGTCAAATTTATAAGAATATAAGTTATTCCCCAATTGACAAATGGTCAAAGGATATGAACAGGCAGTTTTCAGAGGAAGAAAATAAAGCTATCTATAGTCATATGAAAAAATGTTCTAAATCACTATTGATTAGAGAAATGCAAATCAAAATGACTCTGAGGTACCATATCACACTTATCAGTTTGGCCAACATGACAAAATAGGACAATGATAAATGTTGGAGAAGATGTGGGAAAATTGGAACACTAATACATTGTTGGTAGAGTTGTGAAATGATCCAACCGTTGAGGAGAGCAATTTGAAACTATGCCCAAAGGGCTATAAAATTATACATACCCTTTGACCCAGAAATACCACTTCTAGGTCTGCATCCCAAAGAGATCACAAAAATGGGAAAAGAATCTACATGTACAAAAATATTTATAGCAGCTCTTTGTGTGGTGGCAAAGATTTGGAAATTGAGAAAATGCCCATCAATTGGGGAATGGCTGAACAAGTTGTGGTATATGAATGTAATGGAATACTACTGTGCTATAAGAAATGATGAACAGGTAAACTTCAAAAAAACTTGGAAAGACTTATATGAACTGATGCAGAGTGAAATGAGCAGAACCAGGAGAACATCGTACACAGTAACAGCTACATTATAGGATGACTGACTTTGATAGACTTGGCTCTTCACAGCAATGAAAGAATCTAAGACAATTTCAAAAGATTCACAATGGAAATTGCTATCTGCACTGGAGTATGCAGATACTCCATACTATTTGCTCTCCTTTTCCTTTGCTGTTTTGTTTTATTGCTTCATTCTTGTGATTCCTCCCATCAGTTCTAATTGTTATTTATATCATAACTAGTGGGAAAATATGCTTAACGTGAATGTATATGTACAGCCTATATCAGATTGTACACCACCTTTGGGGGGGGAGAAGTGGGAGGGAGAGAAAATTTAAAACTCAAAATCTCATGGAAGTTAATGTTGAAAACTAAAAATAAATAAATTATTCAAAAAAAATAAAGTTTTGAGTTCCAAATTCTATCACTCTTTCCTTCCCCTCCCCCCCATAGTAAACAATCAGGTGTAGGTTATACGTGTGTAATTATATAAAACATTTCCATGTTAGTCATTTTGTACAAGAAGATTCAAATAAAGGGAAAAAAATGAAGGTGAAAAATAGCATGCTTCAGTCTGTATTCAATTGATATCAGTTCTTTCTCTGGAGGCAGATAGTATACTTCATTATTAGTCCTTTGGGATTATCCTTTGGGATTGTCTTGGATCATTGTATTGCTAAGAATACCTAAATCATT